AGTAAAAATGGTCTTACATGGGAGTCACTTTGAACCTTTTCTGGTTTGGAGGGCTGACTACTAAGTAAAAATACACAAACAGGCCAGTTGTGGTGCCTCATTCCTATAATTCTGGCACTTTCGGAAGCTAAGGTGGGAGGATTGCTTGAGTCTGAAACCAGTCTGTGCAAAATAGATAACTTTGTCTCTACAAAAGATAAAAAATTAGCTGGACATTGGTGGCTTGTGTCTCTAGTCTCAGCTACTCCAGAGGCTGAGGCAGGAGGACCACTTGAGCCCAGGAATTTGAGGCTGCAATGAGCTATGAGGATGTCACTGCATTCCAGACTTGGAGGCAGAACAAGACTCTGAAAAGAAAAAAAAGAAGTCACACAAAGAAAAATAAAAGTACAAAGTGTGATGGGTACTAGAGGGAAGGAAAGCAGAGTGGTGAGCCATGCCAGGGCCTTGACTGGGGTTGGGGGTTGGACAAGGCTGCTCAGGGAGGACTGTGACTTGCTCCCTGGCTGTTCTTAGGCCCTGACTCAGAGACTTCCCTGGTCCCTCATTTTTCAGCAATGCCCCCCCACCATCATTCTTGCTACCCTTTGGCACTCCCACCCTGCATGTGTACCATGAGCTTGTTCTTTATGCCCCTCTCCCCACTCCACCTCTACACCAGAGTGTAAGCTTCTTGGGGCAGATACCAAGCTGAACAGTACCTGCTGTCTGATGTGTGTGACAGGGTTAGTGCAGATATATAAGGAGAAGCCAACCGCGAGGTGAGTACAGTGGGAACAGTATGCCCCAGGGGATCTGAGGTAGGAATCAGCCAGCATGCTCAGGGACAGAAGGAAGGTCAATGTGACAAACAGAGGGCATGCATGGGGGGCGGGGCACACAGAGCCTGGAGACCTTTGTGAAGGGTCAGGAGGAGGTGGATTCTACAAGTGGATTCTGGAGAATGATGACATGAGCCAGAGCAGGAAGAGGGTCATGAACAATGGCCACCACTGGTCATGGCATCTTTGGTTTACCAGGCAAGCATTTATTGGCCACTTCCAAAAGAGTGCTGCCCCAGGAAGGGGGAGGAAGAAAGCACCAGTGCACAGCCTTTCTCCCAAACTAATGCTGTTGTTGGTGTTCGAAGTCCAGCCCCTTATTTACAGGTGTAGAGACTACAGCTCAAGGCGTTTGGGCTCAGCGGTTTCTCATTCATGGAGGTCTTACTAAGACAGGCTGAGGAGAGGCTTCCTGCAGTCACATGGGTAGTTCTATGACAATGTTCAGAGACTGAACAAGTTCACTTCCAGTCCACAGCCTTCCATTTTAGCAAAGGTTCTGGGCCTGGCTGGTTCAGATACATTAGGCCAGAGTGGAGCCTGGGTTCTTTTCCCTTTGTAAATGTTTGCAGGAGATTCAGATCATAGCCAGGTTTAGTAATTGCTGTGAAGGACCTACCACCTGTGTATAAGCGGCAGTGGAATGAGAGAAGCAAGTGGATTCTGGAGAATGATGACATGAGCCAGAGCAGGAATAGGGTCATGAACAATGGTGGTCACCTGTCCATTTGTGCCTGGGATGGGGAGCTGCCAGACAGGTCTAGGTGGGACACAGAGGCATCTGTATCCTTCTTGCTGAGCCTTCAGAGGTCAGTGGATTCTCTCTCGCCACAGCTTCCTCCCCCAGCAGATCTGGTAGATCTGTGAGTGGCAGGGTGAGTGGGGGGCACTCATATACCCACCCCGCCTGGCCACTTCTGCTCACCTGGCAGGACTCTGTTCTCAGCTGTTTTCATGTGTTACTGTCTGGCTCTTCAGTTTTCCCAAGGGGCGAGACCTGTGTGTTTTTGTTTGGTTACCCGAGAGTTCCCAGGCACTGTTGCCTCTAAGCACAGAGGAATGAGTTACAGAGGGGCTTGTTGGACAGGACCAGCTGTTTTTTGTCCAGCCTTTTGAAGCCAGGGGCCCAGAGCCTCCCTGGGCATGTGTTCCTCCATCCCCTTGGCTTTCCTGACGGAGGCCAAGCAGCTGTGGATGTTTCCACAGATGGTCATCCAAGGCACCGAGAGAGGAAGATATTTATTAGGTTACCCTGGGAGCCTAGAGATAACATCTGTGCCCTGCTTGCTGTCCACAAGCCCCCTGTGTCCCCCATTCTGCAGGAAGAGAACAGTATAATAATCAAGATATTTCTGTTTGGTTCTGAATTTATTTGCCTACAGGTAGATTTATCTTCCTTATTTTTTCTTATCATGTAAAGGTAAACTTTTCAGGCTGAGCATGGTAGCTCATGCCTGTAACCCCAGCCTTTGGGAGGCCAATGCAGAAGGATCACTTGAGACCAGGAGTTCAAGACCAGCCTGAGCAAGAGCGAGATCCTATCTCTATAAAAAATAGAAAAATTGGTCCTGACGTGGTGGCTCATGCCTATAATACTAGCACTCTAGGAGGCCTAGGTAGGTGGATTGCCTGAGCTCGGGAGTTAAAGACCAGCCTGAGCCAGACCAAGACCTCATTTCTAAAAATAGCCAGGCATTGTGGCAGACACCTATAATCCCAGCTACTTGGAAAGGTGAAGCAAGAGGATCACTGGAGCCCAAGAGTTTGAGATCTCTGTGAGCTGAGACACCATGGCACTCTACCCAGGGTGACAAAGTGAGACTGTCTCAAAAAAAGAAAGAAAAAAGCAGCACCCATAGCTTAGTAGGTAGGGTGCTGGCCACATACACCAAGGCTGGCAGGTTCAAACCCGGCCCAGGCCAGCTAAAACACCAATGACAACTGCAAGAAAAAAATAGCCAGGCATTGTGGCAGGCGCCTATAGTCCCAGCTACTTGGGAGGCAGAGGCAAGAGAATCGCTTAAGCCCAAGAGTTTGAGGTTGCTGTGAGCTTTGATGCTATGGCACACTACCAAGGGTGACATAGTGAGACTCTGTCTCAAAATAAATAAATTGGCTTGACGCCTGTGGCTCAAGTGGCTAAGGCGCCAGCCACATACACCTAAGGTGGCGGGTTCGAATCCAGCCCCGGGCCCCGCCAAAACAACAATGACGGCTGTAACCAAAAAATAGCC